CAGTCAGGTGCGCCGCCCTTGGATACGGACGTCCTCGGTGTCAGGTACGCTTGGTCAGTCTGGTGTTTCGGAAGAGAAGTGCTGGAGTGGCGAGCGAGATGTCTTGAGTTCGGTTTGGGGAGTGTTCCGAGCTGCCATGGGCCAGCTCGGGTCACGGCCTTGTGAGGCTTAGGACCCGAGAGTTCAGGCTCCTTGCAGGGAGCTCGGGTTCTTAGTAGGGAGCTCGAGTTCTTAGTAGGGAGCTCGGACTCCTAGTAGGGAGCTCGGGTTCTTAGCAGGGAGGTCGGGCTCCTAGTAGGGAATCCGGTCTGGTAGAGTTCGGGCTCAATAGTGAGCTTGGACTGTTGGTTACTTTCGGTGCTCGTTTTGGGCGCTCTACTGCCCCGAACTGCTTGCTTTTGCCACGTGTCGGGTGATTGCGAGGTCGGGCCAAATTTCCCTTCATCACCAAGCAAACCCTATACTTGGCCAAAGCCAACTTGGAAATATTTTATATATGGTATAATATCTTACATATATAGTATATTATAAATATTATATATATATGATATAATATGTTAATATATAAATAATGCCAAAAGAATTAAAATTCTAATGTTTAAAAAAACAATAATTTTATTAATTAATATGGGAAATCCCGGATGCCCGGCCTGGATGCGGGCCATACCCGAGCAGCTCCAATGTGTTGTCAAAAACTCGGCCCGGCCTGGCCCGGCCCGACCCAAGATGATCCCTATCACTGTTGACTAAAGGTGTCAATGGACCAGTTTTGGACTGAACCCCATCCAGTTCAAAATCAATTTGGACAGATTGGATGGATCAAAAAGACAGTGAATCGGATCAATTCAGTCCCAAATATTTATTAGATTGGACTGAATCTGATCCGTCCATAATAAATTTATATTGAATTTAGTTGGATTAAGCCAATATCCGGTTCATTGATATAAGATAAGAATATACGTGTGGTTGAGACCAATCTAAATTAAAATGAATTTGAACAAATTGAAAGTTCCGAATATTAAATTGGACCGATCCAAATTATTCATTGGATTGGATTGGACCTGGTCCATTTGTAATGGACTCAGATTGGACTGGATCGGATTGGATCAAATCCAGTCCAATCGACACCCCTACTGTTGACCCACTGAGAACATTCAGCAGTCTCAGATTTTTTGATTGTTGTGAGTGAAAATTTAAAACTGCATTATTTATCAGCAATTTTCGCAAATCTTTTTTAAGGAATTGACGGTTCTTATATTTTAAAGAAGACAAGGAAATGTACGTGTCTCTCTTTGATTGGTCCTCTGAAACTTTAATTTTGATTTTGGCATTCTGCTATTTAAGGACAGTTTAGATGACTCCGGACTGACATTCTAACTTCACCCTCTACAGTCCCATTGTCGCCGTTCCAGCGAAGACCAAGATCTGGTATTCCATCAACGAGTCTGATCAGTTTTCTGTATCACCAGAAGTTCTCTGATTTTCTTCCGCCCAAGGTAAGCCGTTTCTTTTCTTTCTTTCGTTCTTTCTTTGTTTCTTTTGTTTTTTTCTTTGTTTCTTTCGTTCATGTCGTCATTTTCCGGTCATATTACTGCGTTGAGTGGCCGCCGGCTACCGGCTTCTGTCATTAAGAAAATATTGATACTAACCCCTTTCTCAGACTCAAACTTTACTTTTATTCGAAAAATTTTGAAACCATCCAACGGTCATGTGCTTTGAAACCGCCATTTTTCATAAACTTAGTTTCAGAAAGAATATATTATATAATATACCCTCCCCATCATCTTCCAAAATGTTCGACCTCAGCTGAGGTTGGAATTTAAGGACACTTTTCAGCTTCAGCTCTCTGTTCAACTTCCGGCGGTTATCGCCGGACGTCCTTCATTGTTGCACATATTGCTCTCAGGTTCCCAGCAAAGCAAAATCTCCAATTGAAATTCTTGAACGGATTTCTTTCCCGATTTGAATTCGATTTCAATGCCGTCAAGGATCAAACTGCTGGTGTGCTGTCTCGAGATCCGCGTCTTCTTGTTTCCTTTCTGAGCTGCAGCAGCAGCAGCAGCAGCAGCTGCATCTCTCTCCTTTCTCCTCCTCGTGACCAATGAGAACGTATTGTCTGTACGATCGCTTTCGATTCATTTACGTGCTTCTGCTACGTCCCAGATTTTCTACAGCGCTGCAGAGGTGGATATGACGACGCCGACGCTCGGTTCTTCTCTCCAACCTTGTCGAAGCCACAGTAGGCCGTCCTGGCTCCATGCAACTCTTACAGGTACTGCAAATTTACAAAATTCTCCCTTCGTTTCTTCCGATTTTACACCTTTATCACTACACGGCGGGATGTGCTGTGGGGCGGAGATGTGAACTCGCTATTTTGCTGCTATCTTATGGCCTTGTCGTCCTCATGATCAAGGACATGTCAAATCACAAGACGACGAATCATAAATAGTGGTTTTGGGCGAATACGAGGCTTAAGGTGTTTTATATCTTTGTCTGGTCTGAAATAGACGTCCGTGACGCTAGCATCCGCCGAGTTAATGAGTTTACTGTTTAACCGGGCAATCCGGTGATTTTGTTGCGATTTCCCCACCCGTACGTACTAGTGGTTAACTGGTTATTTATCCTCTAATCAATGTACCGTTCTGTATTGGGACTTGGGAGTTCTGCAATCCTATACGGATCGTGTACGTGAAAGTTGAAAGTTGAAACTGTGAAAGTCTTTCTACGTTGTGAAGCTGAGAACAGACTCAGAGTGCTGAAGTCTGAAATGGACGGTTTGGATTAAAAGGGTTTGGTGTTTCTGCACGGTTTAGCAGCCGTGCAGGATATAAGAAAACATGTAGGACCCGTTCTATGTTTGTCGTGTGTGAATTGTGAATTGTGGGTGAAAAGGTTAAATTTGAAAAGCTGAGGCCTGAGGGCTGAGGCTTGAGGCTTGAGGCCTGAGACCTGAGGGGTTCTGTCGGTGTCAGTCATCGGAAGCGGTTCTGCTTTCAGCCGGTTTCTTTATTTAAATTTGAAATTCGAACCAAGCGTGTCGTATACTCGTCACTCTGAACCGAAAGGGACCTGTTTGGTTCCTTTGCACGGTATGAACAAACAGAAGCGATCTTGTCGTGGTCCGATTTCAAAATAAAAAGAGCGACCTTTCCAGGGGCTTGTACGAGATGGTGGGCCCTACGGTACAGTAACGCATCTTATGACCTTCCGTTTCTTTTTAACCGCGGGGTCCCACTCTCTCTTTTTTCTAACCCAAAAAAAATCTTACCATAGGCTAATTTTAACAATTATTATTATTATGTAAAGAATTACGGAAAATCTAGATACGGTAAAGAATGAAAGATATGATATGAAAAGGGTTTTACTTATTTTATTTTGAAATCGATTCAGAGGGTTCATTCGGTTTAAGGCCTGATTACCTCTGAACCAGTGGCTGATCCGATATAACTATTGAAGGGGCATATTGGAAAGCCAATAACTTAATAACTTCTCCTTGACCCCTTTTCTTGACCCTTTTTTCTCTACAGTGCTGATTGCAGGATTTGATTCATGTCAATGATGGAACAAACCAACTAATACATCAATGAACCAGCCCTTAATTGTTCATTAATTTAATTTATAATGATTTAAAATGTATTACTTTTTCGAATATATTTCATGCACTTGTGCCAATTAGTTATTATTTATTAAAAATTGTAATACTTTTGTCATGGTTATTTTTCATTTATTTAATAGTATTGTTTCTTTATGCACTTCACATGCTTTATGATTATTTTAATTAATTTCCTTTTAATTTTAAAATATTAAAGACTTGTTATGGTTGAAGTACGGATAACTTCATGCAAGATTATTTCGATGTTTTATTTTTTAAATAAGAAGATTATTTTGATTAGTAAGGGCCATTTCTACTAATGCCAATGAAATTTTCAGTCTCGTAATCACGGATGTGCTACCCACATTGTTTCCACATCTCTGCCCACTTGACATTACATTTGTGCATTAAGAATATCTCTTTTATAAGGAGATGTTCCAAATACATGGTAGGGCTGTTCGATGGGTATAGATGTCTGAGCATTTTGTGGGTATCTGATCTGGAGTGATCCTAAAGACCAAAACCTTATTTGATTCACTAAGATTATGTTTGGTTTGAAGGAAAAAGTAGGGAAAGGAAGGGACAGGCAAGAAAACCTATGCAAGATTTGTAAAGATTTTCTTACCTTTCCTTTTCTTTTTCTACTTTTTCCTTCAAACCAAACACAGCCTAAAAGAAATCAGTAAGTCATTAATGTCTCATTTGGTTTATGAGAATAGGGGTCTAAAATTGAGATCTGAATAGACCATTTCAATTTCAACTGTTTGGTTTGATAGAGTAAGAATCTCATTCTCATTCCTGGTGGAATAACATTTTTCATTTGAGCTAATGCTCATTCTCACTTGGGAATGAAATTCCATTTTAGCTTATTCCTTCTAATTCCTGTTTGAACCAAACAGACTTTATTTCTAGACCATTCTGATTGAGATTCCAAAAAGGATTCAATTCCATTCTGATTGTGAACCAGTGAGACCGAAGAAGCGTTGATTCCCGAACCATGCTTCACTACTTCACTATCTTGGTGAGTACCACGCTCTGCTTAATCAGGGGCCCACCAAAGTCAGATGCTGGTGGGATCTTAAGCATTCTGAAATAATAGCTACAAATTTGATAGCTAAATGATAAGTTTTGGCAACGTGAACGAATTCAGTGGTAGGGTCCCTTGTGAGTTTTGACTAACAGGCTAATTTAATTCATGTTTTGTTCCGTCATTATCGACTGATTTCTATTTATTTTCTGTTTTTTTTTTCTTTTTAATTTTGTCAATTTACAGATTTGGAAGATAAGGTGAAAAGTCTTGCTCTGAGTCTCCCTAAGGAAGACGAGTCTGACTCGTTTGCAGAACGCGCTGAGAATTATTACAGAAAGCGCCCTCAGCTACTAACCCTCGTTCAAGATCTCTACAATGGCTACGTCTCCTTAGCCGACCGTTACTGCCAATCTGTCACAAAGAACCAAATCTCATCTCAACTCTCAGTGGTCACTTCCGATATCGACGAAGATGGGGACAACCAGATTGATTCCGATGCCGAGAGTTCACTCTCTTATCAACCTCCGCCACCGCAGAGCACCACCGAGGATGCAGCAACAGCAGCAGCAGCGGCGGACCCCGACGCCCTTGTGGCGGAGCTTGTGAGCAAGACGATCGACTACGAGATTCTTCTTAATGAGATGACCATTCTAGAGAAGTGCAACACTGAATCTTCGAGGAAGATCGAGCTGCAGAAGAGTCTACTAGAGGTGTTGGAATCGGAACGGCTGATTCTTCTGAACGAGAACGCGAGGTTGGGGTTCCGAGTGTCGGCGCTGACGGAGGAGAACAAAGGGTTGGCGACGGAATCTGCTTTCATGAAGAGGAAGGCGAGTGAGCTGGCGAGGTGCGTGCTGAAGATGAGAGACGATCACAGGGTCTGTCTGCTGAGTCGTAAGATTGAGGATCTTCAGGGGCAGATATATGGGTTGGAGAAGAGGAACAAGGAGTACTACGAGCAGTTGGTGAAGAGGGAAGAACAAGAGAAGAAGAAGAAGGAGATGGCTTTGGAGGTTTGTTTTGAGGTGGAGAAGCTGAAGTTAGAGAACGAGCAGCTAAGGGAGAAGACCATGAGAGCAGGAGACGATGGGAGACATCAGACTTCGAATTCCAGCTCTAGGTGGTGGGACCGGGTCAGGAAGCTTGAAACACTGCTTTTGTGTGGCTCTCCTGGATCTACTCCTTTTTGATCAGACGATCAGAGACAAATCTTATAGTCAATCAATATATATATATATATATATATAAATATGTAGTCAGCTGTCTAGAGGCAAGTTGAACGATATTTTGCCCTTCATTTCTATATATAATTCACAGGCTGGTTAATGACTGGTCCAAAGACTGTTGAGGAATGAGCACTTGGTAAATTTATATAAAATTATAGGTAAAAGAGAAAAGAAAAGTAGATATCGACATGGGTATTGATTAGCCCTGGCAGAAGCATGTTCATGTTATTACTTTCTTGGAGCATACTTCTCGTGTTATTATGTTTTATTCTTATTAGTAGTAAAATGGTCCATCCGATGCACAGGGTATTTGTCACCTCAAATTTCGCAAGGCATTGTGATGGTTTGCAGAGATGTTTGAACCTTGTGCAGCTTTGAAAAATTAAAAATTTATGTAGTATCTCTATTCGTTAAGATTTTTATATCTTGAATTACTAATAAAGTTTGAATCACCGTTAAAAGTATTGGAAATATAAGATGTATTGGTAAGGTAATTTTAACAAATGTATCGACATATTCTTTGGTATGCATGCATATAGATGAAAAGTTAAGATATGCATGAATACATTAAGAAATTAAAATAAATAATAAGAAATATAATAATAATAATAATAATAATAACAAATGTAAGTTTTATATGATTATAAATGAATTATTTAAATATAAAAAATGATACTTTAATGGTTTATATACATTGTGACACATTGGAACACATTTGATAACCGTCGAAATATGATGAAAGAATTAAAATTTTAGTTTATTAATTTTCATAAAATCAATATAATTTGTATTTATTTTTATTAGTCTATAAATTTTAATAATCAATTTTAACATTTATTAACAAACATTCCTTCAAAAGAGAAAATTTACTCAAGATTTAAAATCAAACTATAATATGAATTAATGGTAGAATTATGATCAATACAAACTAATGACTAGGGTTTGAATCCTCTCACTCATAGATTTTATAGCTAGTTTAAGGTGTGTTAATGCATATAATAAGTTCGAATTGATTTTGGATATTGCTTAAATGTAGAATTAAATAAAGGCCTTAATTTAAGGCATATGATAAATTTGAATTTGAATATTGATTAAAAGTAGCGTTAAATAAAGGAGTTAATTAAGGCATGTTTAATGTAGCATCAAATAAATGAGTTATTTAAGAGAGGGGGAATAATTCTAGGAGTTATTAGAGAGAGAGAGAGAGAGAGAGAGAGAATAATTATAGGAGGAATGATCTTGCCACAATAAAAAACCGGAATGTATTGCCCGATACGTACATAGTATTGGCCTGTATCCAATTTGTATCGGTCGATACACATCTGAAATGGTCCGTATTAGACTGATACAAGCAAAAAAGAATGACACCCTTGATGTCGTTGCGTTCCACGTATCAAACTCATATAGAAACAATACGTATCGGTCAATACAAACTAATATGTTACGAAATTTTAAGCCTTGACTCAAATAGAGCTAAAGCCTTAAAACAATTATACAATATAAATTAGAAAAATAAAAAAAGGAATCCTTCAAAAGGGCATGGCTGTTTGTCCTGCTAGTATGTGGACTTGGGTAGGGCATGCCTGCTTGTCCTAGAATCCTTCAAAAGGGAAACTTAGCATGGCCCATGGCTTGAACGCAAGTGGTCATATGCATTTAATGGAATTACAATAACATTAAAAAGATTACAATGGAATTGATCATGTATGAAAAAACTCAAAGTTGTAAGGAAAATACATATTGTTTTTCTCTTGCTTTATCTTGCTTGCTTTGAATCAAGCTAAACACCTTTATTTATCGAGGATTTAAGAGCAAGTGACCATTTTTAACGGTTGGAGTTTTTTTCTCCTTTGTTGGAAATGATTCAAATTTGCAATAACTTAATAAAAGGTTTTTCAAAGATGGAAATAAACATTTGAGCCTTCAAATAGTCAAATTCTTCAAAGTAGTTGACTATCACAAGGTTATTGAATGCGAATGCGAATTGACACAAGAACAAAGAGGAAAGTGCTAGAAGAAGGATCACAAGGCTGATGAATGCAAATTGAAGAGGAGATCAAAGATTGATGCAGAAATCCTAAGTTGTCTTCTTCTTTGATTCTACGAATTCGGTAACCTAGATTCAATTAGGGTTTAATGGTTTTTCTTTGTTGAATTCTTCTTTCTTTCTATTATGCGAACCATGATGGATGTTAATTCAGATTTGTAATTAATCTTTTAAGCTGATCCAATTGATAGTGATTCAGTCTTGGGATTTCTTGATTAGGGTTTTCGATTATAAGAGTAGTTTTGGCTAAACTGTTCTTGTTTCTTGGATTACTTGAATTCCTTGAGAAAGGGTTTAGGTAATCAGATCAACTGATCAAGAAAACGGATTGAATGTATCTTAGAGATAATATGCATGATTTGTTTGCCATTCATTCAACAAGAATTGATTTCCTTCGAATTCTTTGTCCTTAATGCATCTATGGTGATTAAATTCTTGATAGAAATATAAGAGTTGTTGCTCATAGATAGAATGGGCTGTGCTCGAAAAAGGCTTTTCATACAATTAGGAATTAGCCAACCCATGACTGAATTCAACTTCGGTTGGATAGCTTAATGGTATAATCACTAAACCGGTTCTGCTAGTATTTTCATGAAGCACTTCCTCTCATTATTTAAGGCGGTATGATCCGAGAACACTTAGGATAATATGCTAATTATGAGTTATGTTTTTCCTTGTTTAACTTTTTGGTTTGTGAGATAACAAAAAGTTGATTCAGTACTAGTAGTTGTTGGATTAATCCCTGTGGGATAAACACATCAAGTTTTTGGCGCCGTTGCCGGGGATTATCACAACAATATTAGGAACCATCTACTGTTGTTAATCTGATTTTGTACAATATGTTCATGATATGTGTGTATTGATATCTTTATGACTTTGACTTGTTCAGTTTATGACACGCAGAAGTGAAAAGGAGAGCATCATCTACGATCCAGAGATTGAACGAATTCTTTACCGCCACCTTAGAGCTTCTAAGCAAGAGAAAGCTAAAAGCACAAAGATGGCCGAGCAAAGGACTATGATGGACTATGCCAAACCAACCCTCAACGGGGCAGTCTCGAGCATTGTGAGACCATCAATAGATGCTAACAACTTTGAGATCAAACCAACAATCTTTCAGATGATCCAGGACATAGTTCAGTTCTGCGGCTTGGCTAATGAAGATCCGAATACTCACATCGCCAACTTCTTGGAGATATGTGACACATTCAAGCACAACGGAGTTAGTGATGATGCTGTGAGGCTCAGCTTATTCCCGTTTTCGTTGAGGGACAAAGCTAAGACTTGGCTGAACTCTTTACCACCTGGATCGATCGCAACTTGGGATGAAATGACCAGCTGCTTCCTATCCAAGTATTTCCCTCCGTCCAAGACTGCAAAGATGAGGAATGATATCACCACCTTCTCTCAGCAGGATGGGGAATCATTATATGAATCATGGGAGCGCTACAAGGAATTACTGAGGAAAGTCCCTCATCATGGACTTCCTGTATGGCTCCAAGTTCAGACGTTCTACAACGGATTGACTAAAGCAAACAAGACCATTATGAACGCTATAGCTGGGGGATCCATTAACAACAAGACTCCTGAAGTTGCCCATGCACTCATTGAGGAAATGGCTGCAAATAATTATTAGTGGCATTCCAAGAGAGCCCAAGTTAGGAGACAACCCGGCCTTCACAATGTAGACACCTATACAACACTATCTGCACAAATCGGCGCCCTCAGCAAGAAGATCGATGAAATGCAGCTGGCAGCCATGCATGTTCAAGCCGTATCCTATAAATGGTGTGGGGGAAGTCATATCAACACCGAATGCCAAGTTGGAAATTAGTTCATGCAGTCCTCTGAGCAAGTAGATTTCGTAGGGAATTTGCAAAGGCAACAAGGCAATCACTATCCTCGTGCCTTTAACCCTGGATGGAGGAATCACCCCAATCTGTCTTGGTGAAATCAAAATGTGGTGAAACCCCTCCCTCAAAACTTCGCTCAGCTAGAAAAGAAATCTAAACTAGAAGAGCTGATGACCGAGTTCATATCAAGTGCGAAAATGAGATTTCAGAACCAAGAAGCATCGATCAAGAATTTAGAGACTCAAGTGGGGCAGTTGGCACAGATGATATCCTCTAGAGTCCAAGGTACTTTGCCCAGCAATACAGAAGTGAATCCAAGGGAACAAGTGCAAGCCATTACCTTGAGGAGTGGTAAGGAGCTGCAAGAGGTGGAGAAGAAAGCAAAGGAAGAAGGTAAGGTGGGCGCAACCCTAGAAACCGGAAAGGAGGAAGAACAGTCTGATTCAAGAAAAGAGACAAGCCAAAAGTCACAAGTGCCATTTCCCAATAGGCTTAAGTGACACAAAATGGAAAAGGAATTCGGTAAGTTTCTCGAAACTTTCAAGAGTTTACATATTAACATTCCTTTTAAAGATGCCTTAGCACAGATGCCGCATTATGCAAAGTTCCTTAAGGAAATCTTGGCGAACAAAAGGAAACTGGGAGACATGGCTACAGTTGCATTGAATAAAGAATGCTCAGCAATCCTCCTCAACAAACTATCTTAGAAACTGAAAGATCCAGGGAGTTTTACTATTCCTTGCACTATAGGTAGTTTAAAGATTAATAAGACATTGTGTGATTTGGGAGATAGTATAAATCTGATGCCCTATTCGGTTTTTAAGAAACTAGGGCTGGGTGAACCCCAACCAACTAGAGTTGCATTGCAATTAGCTGATTGGTCCATCAAGCATCCTAGGGGAATCATAGAAGATGTGCTTGTTAAGGTTGACAAATTTATTTTTCCGTAGATTTCATAGCATTAGACATGCAAGAGGACGTTGATGTCTCTCTTATCCTAGGGCGACCCTTCCTAGCTACGGGAAAGGCAATGATTGATGTCCAACAAGGGCAAATCAGCCTTAGGATTCAAGATGAGGAAGTAATTTTTAAAATGTCTGATGCTATGAAACATGCACCTTCTAAAGATGATTTATGTTATATGATAGATGTCATTGATTATGCGGTTAGTGGGTGTTTTCAGGTTAACAGGTCGGCTGATCCCCTTGAGCTATGCATACAAGAAGGAGAAGCCATAATGGGAGAAAATGGAGAAATTCAAAGCATGTTGGCATACCTGAATGTAAATCCTCAGTTTCAAGGAAAGGGGTTCATCAAGTTGGAGAGCTTGGACAGACCCTTGTTGC